GCCGCTTCCAGGCTCAGGAGCGGCGACGGCGCCCCTCTGCTCGCCGGCCCGCGCCGTCGCCGTCGCAGTCGCCTTGTGGCAGGTGCCAGGTGTGCGAGTTCACCGGTGCTCAAAGCGTGCGCCTGTGCCTCCGCGGCCAGTCACCCAGCTCGCCGGGTGCCCCAGGAGAAGGAAGGCGCCGGGCAAGCGAGCGGTTCGTACGCGGGAAAGAAAGCTGTTCACCCGGGCCCATCAGCCGCCACCCGAGCCTGTACTTAAAAAGCGCTTATCTATCTCCAGGGCTCCCGGAGCACAGGCTAATCCGCATCTCCAATTCGCGCATCCCTAGGAGGTGCGAAAGGTCCATCCCTTCTGCCCATTAGGGCCGCAGCCTTGCAGGGTCTCGCCTGCCCCCGAAGACGCCCAGGCAGCCCCAGCTCTCTCTTTGGAAATCTCTCTTCAGCATCTGTCCTACGGAACTCTCCGAAGAACGGCGTCAGCGCTTAGCCTCGCCTTCACCTGGAGGATGCTCAGAGCAGCAGTGAGGGTTAACGGCTGGAGACTACTACAGGATGCAACAAGTGAACTTCATCCTGTCACCCAAGCTTCCTTAGTTATTTAGTGGGTGATGGATATTTCTGTGCTTTCCAAAAATATTAGTGTCTGAAGGGTTCAACTTAGAAGGTTTAGTCGAGGCAGCACACGTGGTCAAGTGGAAAAAGGGTGTAAAATATTGGGGGCTGTGAAGACGTAAAGAAGACAGAGATTAAATTATTGCCCTTATTTTGTGTTTGCGTTAATTGGATGTCAGGATATTTGAAAAGGTGAATAACAGTAAGAGTTGTAAATACTTGAAGAGAAGAGCTGCAAAGAGAAATGACAGCCCTCATATGTTTAACTAGTGGAAGAAAACTAAAGATGAAATGACACAAGGCAGCAGTACAAGATTAATTACCAAGTGACATCCACATGCAATACTGTGAGAGTTCAGAGAAAGGAGGTATGATTAACCTCAAGTAGTTTGAAAAGCCCTGAAGAGGAGGGAAAATAAGGTTGACTCAAATGCCAGCTATTGTTGACATCAGCTTCTTTTTGCCAAGTTTCTTTTTTTTTTTCAGCTTTAATTAAGTTTATTGGTACATTTTAGGGATACAGTACAGTTACATTCATTGTTGGGATCTTGTACCTCTACATGACAAGTCTTGATTCTCATTTTTTCCCCTTACCTCTGCCCTCCCTTCACCCCCTCCTCCCCTCCCCATCTACAAACACTTTATTTTCATCTTTTCATTCTCTCACATTTTTTTCCTCTCACTTTTTACTCTTCCCCTACCCATCCCACCTTCCCTACACCTTTAGCTCCTTTCTTCCCATTTCTAAATGTCAGTAATCTTATGAGAATCTTATGCATTGTTGCAGATTATTCACACCAGGGAAACTATTCGGTATTTACACATGTGTGACTTATTTGTTTCACTTAGGAGTATATCTTCAATATGTATCCATTTTCCTATGAATGAATCTATTTTCTCATTCTTTATGGCTGAGCAATATTCCATTTTATAGAAAAACCACATCTTCTTTATCCAGTTTCCAACCAAGTTTCTTGGTTAGTCTCTAAGCGTCACAAATTTCTCACAAAATCCCCAAAGTGTTGACAATTTTACTATTTTTTAATTGATAAAACAGTTCAAAAAAGGGATAGAGTCTGCTAAAGTTCAACAGTGGGGGGAAAACAGTGAAAACATTTATTTTTACTGTCAGGTCTACATGACATCAAAACTGTATATTTCTTTGTTACCACCACCTCTGTACTCCCTCTTCTCCCCCATTTTCTTTCTCTCTTCCCCTTTTCACCTCCTCCTTGAAGGCAGATGGATACGGACTTCATGGTAATGTGTAACCTCACTAGTTTGTCCCAGCAAGACTTGGGGCATTGTTTGTTTGGCTTGAATGTTTCACGTTCACTATTATTGGAAACAATGGAAATGCTGTGACTCACTTGTGAGCAATACCGTCCTCAAGCTTATGGGCATATCCTGCTCTGAGTGCTGCCCTGTGGAGCAGTTCCAGTCCCTGCTAGGAAGAACAAGAAGTTCTCAAGAGGGGTTTAAATTCATCACTGGGTTCAAGCCTGAAAGAGGGGAAAAAGCAATGGTTGAAGAAATGAGTCATTCAGGGCTTTTAACTGGATACCCAGCTCTTCTCAGGTTCGCAAGCGTTTTCTTCTAATTTTGATCTTTATTGTTACTCTTGGAAAAAGAAATATTGAGCATCTATAACATAACAGCCATTATAGTTTGTATTAAAAAAATACATTTATTTCTCATAACCACATAATTCTTGTAATATTTATTCATTAGGAGGAATATTTTAATTTTACCAATAAGTAAATCACTGCAGACAGATAATTTGTGAATAATGATACTATTGTTTCAACAATAATAACTCAGAACTGAGTTCAAATCCAGATCTATACTGACTTCAAAGATCTTGTTTTTATCAGTGGTTCTCTACCTTTCTATCCAAGCTCTTCAGTTTATTGACTATTCACCCTTCTAAAGTTACTGACCCAAATTACTGAGACCTTCTGACTAATGGCTAATAGAGTGCATAACCCAAGGCTGTAAGATTCAGTAACCTAAGAACAGCAGGAAGGATATCTGTTCTATCAGTCATTATATTCCAGGTGCATGACTCACAAATACAGGCATCTAATATATATTTATTCACTGATACTCCATGAAGATACTTGGTGATGGTAACACCATTCCACTCCAGCTTGGAGTTCATACACCTTACTAGCCTGTCACCTGAACTTGCTGCTAGTATCTGCTTTTACTCAGCTTGGCTTGCTCTCTCCAGCTTCCTATCTTTGGCCATAGAAATTCTAGAACCACTTAAAGCAATTCAAAGAAACTTTTGAAATCTGATTCAATTATAGGAATAGCTTTTGCTGTAGTAGTAGTTGCTTTGCTCTCTACTTCAATCATGTCACAGAGTTCCTCCCCAAATCTCTATTTTATTTTGGCCCTGTAGTCAATGGAAATGGGAATAAAATAGTTTGTGGTAAATAACAATATTTTTCAGTTAAGATACACTCTGTGTTTTCCTGGCTTCCAATTCAGTGCCCAAACCAGAATGCCACTCTTTCACATTTGGAAAGTAGTTTTTATTTGTATATAAATATTATTTTTCATAAAATTTATTTCTAATCTATTTGAACATCCATGTGATTGTCAATGCTAAAAAAAATACCTTCAACTATAAAGTACATCCTTTTATGAAATGTCTTTAACAAAACCTCTTTCAAATAGTTATGCAACCTTGTCTATTCTAATTTCCATCTTCAATGCACCAAGTACAGTCATTCTAAAATCAGTCCACTTCAAATATATTCTCTGGATCAATTCCAAATGACCTGCATTTAGCACAAAAAATGTAATATATATATATATAAACACCCAAGAATTAGAACCACTTTTAAAGCCATATCAAAAAATAAAACCACTGTCTAAATGTAGTTTAAATTAGAGCAAATGTCAAATAACTGTAAAAATTGAGATTATACTCCTGTTTCCGTTTCCCAAAACCATAATCAGGGCATGTGGCTTCCAAATAATGGACAAATTACTTCTTGAAAGGAACCTTAAAACAGTAAACACAGTTGCTATTCAACTATTTGCGAGTTTAGTAAATGTCACGTTCTTTCTAATTGGCTCCCTGTCTCAGCAAACCCAATTGAAAGTTAATTAGGTTGGTATGTGAATTGCATTCCACCCCTCCCCCATATGTTCCCTGAATGAGCTTAGTACCCATAAAGCGTCCTTGTTTTCCATATGTGATCTCAATGTGGGGTCTGCATTCATTACTATCATCTGGAATCAGTCCTGTGGCTCCAGTACCTTTTACGGGGGCGGCTCTGAATCTTTGAGATGTAGGAATGGAGACTACACTAAGAGGTAACATGCCAAACATCTACTTCCACCTTTACATTTACCACAGTGGGAATACCAGATGGTAAATAAAAATGTGTAGCTGTGGCTCAGTCTCTTAGCAGCATCTCTTCTCTCAAACATGGTTGGAATCACAGGGTGCCACCTTGTGTATAAACTGATGATTTACTTCCCAGTTCCACAAAGAATCCAAATAGACTTAAAAATAATCAGCCTGAAAGCTCTGTATTTTATTAACCAAGGAAAAAGCAGGCAGACGTAATTGAAGGAAACAGATTTGAAAACACATAGCTCCAGAGGGTCTGCAATACTCCATTTTGAATCCCACCAACAGTCTGTCTCATTTGTCCCCCCGCCCCTGACTGGAACACACCTAATGCCCCACATGTGGAATCGATTGATGCCACACTCTCAAATTTTCAGCGAATACACCAAAGATAAGTAAAACTCTTGCGATGGAGCTAATGAGTCAGACTTGGATAATGACCTGTGCCCAAACAGCAAGTGAGTTATGTAGATTTAATTTCAGGACTTTGAATTTCTGAGAGGCACGAATGTCTATTGGACTGATAAATATGACCCTGAATATTTTAGTAAAGTACCTGATAGGGATATTTGAAAAAAATGAATTTGGAAGAGGGGAATACAATTGTTGGACCAAGGTCATGGAAGTAAAATAGGATCCTTTTCAATGCAGCTACCTTGCCCTTGAGAGA